CAAATTGCAATAATATTCTAAGATACTTATTTTTTAATAAATTATTCTTTTATTAATTTATTAATAAAATATTAACAATTATACCAATATTTTGAAAAATTATCTTTTTACAAATGCTAGCGGGTGAAAAATATTGAATTGGAATCTTTTGCTACACAAAGTGAATTATATTCTCAAACCATGTGAATAACTACTCAATTATGCGTTGGTTGAAAAATTGTCATATGTAAAATTTGCGTGATTGTTAAATATAATGTTATATTCTGAGCTAATAATTATTAATAATTCTTGAATATAAATTTAATAACGAACATGATACTTTTTGTACAGTTTATTAAAAATTTTCTTCTTGTAACACTAAATTAGGTTTTATTAATTCAATTACCTACATTTCCAAAATAGTACACACACGCATCAAATGATGTATTTCGAACTTATTACCTTCAAAGTTTAATGCTTCATATTCCCTATCAAAATCTTGCATAAACTGTATCACATGTAACATAATATTTCTATTATAATTTCTTAGGTGAATATTTGAAAAAATATACATAAAAATAAGCTCCCCAATATTTATTCCCTACTTCAATTTTTTTATCTATTTACATTCATTAGAATTTGATTTGCCAATTAGATTTCCTTTGAATTTTAATACCAATTATAAAATAAGTAATATAAATTAATAAAAACGATAAAAAATATATATGTACATCAGTAAATAAATAAAATTGATATAGAATACATATATTAATGTAATAATGAGTAATATATATATAATAAAAATGTAATAAATAACTGATATTAACCCTTTGCGCTCGACGATTTTTTGGCTAAAGTAGGGTACAAGTTGAAAAATTTTCTGCTATAAGGCTGATGATACTTTTTGAGCACTAAATAAGAAATCGTATAATAATTAACACGTAGAATTATTTAATTTCAATACCTCGCACACTGTTACATTATTTTGAATTTGATATATTAATTAATATCAAGCGTCGAAATTTTATAAAATGGCGACTGAAGGGCCGCCCCTCGAGTGCAAAGGGTTAAATAATAAATATAATAATAAATGTACACGAAATAAATTGTAAAATAACTGATCATGGGTCATTTTCGTGTATGTTCACACAGATCCATTCGATTATTTTCTATTGAACGATGAAACAGGGGTTCTAAAAACCGCAAAGCCTCTAAACAGGGAAGCATTAAAGGATTCAACGGGGGTGCTGACACTGAAGGTGAGAGCACGTGAATTAATCGACGGTATACCAGGTAACGACAATCTGACAGTCTCGACGGCCGAAGCAACGGTGACGATTAAGGATGTCAACGACGAGCCGCCAACTTTTAATCGTCGGGAATATAATATCGAAATTCCAGAAAATGTCCCGAATGGCACGCCTCTACATTTAGATATGACCGTGAAGGATCCTGATGTCGTAAGTTCCACTTAAACAATATTGTATTTCCATATTATTTTCTCTTTTTCTTCATAAAAACTAAGAGAAAGAAATTTGGAATTTTTATAAATAAATAAAAACAGTATTTAATAGTTTTCTAACAAATGATAAACCTTACATCTTCTATACCTTAATTATACCTAAAGATTCTGATAAACTTTCAAATTTTATTATATTAATATTAGCATTTAAGATTCATGGCATCATGTCATTTTATAACATAAATCACAAAATATTTGTTATTTGCTACGATTATTCGTCCTTTGATTTTGCTAAAAATACAAATTTTGAGAAATAAAACCAAATTTTCAATTTAAAAATAAATCTTATTTCTTCGAACAATTGGTTCTTCAATTTATTACTTAATTAATCATCGTATCCAGTGTCCAAATATCTGCTTTTGAATAAAAGGTGAAAAAACAAATCAGAAGATTTATAGGTATAATTTAATTTGAGCTTTTATAGATGCAACATATTTTGCAAGCTTCATAAAATCGCATCATTACAGGGTCTGAACTCGGTATTTTCCCTCCGTTTAGAAGATATTACGGACGGTGCATTTACTATCGAACCAACTATGGCGACTGGAAGCACATCCGTGAACATTCGCGTTGCAAATGGCTCGCTCGATTACGAGAATCCTAATCAGCGTAAATTCATCATACTGGTAAGCTGATCATTTTTCTACTTGCGAATTATGTTGTTCTTATATCACCCAGTGGTTCAAGAATAAAATTATTCTATTGCAATTCTTCAGGTCGTTGCAGAGGAGGTCCACACAAATCCGAAGCTTGTATCCACCGCAACCGTAACTGTCGCCATCACGGATGCAAACGATAATTCACCTTCTTTCAGCAATCCAACTTACACGGCCATAGTGTTGGAAACTGCACCTGCAGGCACATCGGTTATAACGATCACCGCTAAAGATCGTGATAGTGGACGGTAAGAAAAATGACTAATCTTTTCTGAAATTGACATAATTCGATGTAACGAAAGTTTTATAAACAAATTTCGCTCTAGATTTGGTACTGCTGGAATAGCCTATCAATTACTTGGACAGGGTGCTCAACACTTTTCCGTTGATCGAAAAACTGGAGCTATTACAGTAGCTCCTTGCCCCACTCCTGGAACATCACCTTGTTTAGATTATGAAGAACAGGCAGCATATTTCCTCACATATAAGGTATGCCATGTCAAAAATATTTAAGCTGTTAAACGAGAAGATAAAATAAAATTTTTGAAAATTTTCTTTCTTTAACTTTATTCCCAAATTCCCATTCAACAATATAGTTCTTTTCAGTTTTATCTTTATAAATATAAACAGTGAGAAACTTGAGCCAAATAGAATTGTATAGGTGCTAATCACTTATTTTTATTTTTGTCAGGCCACCGACAATGATGGGCAAGGACAAACAACCAGCGTATCATTGCGTATCAGTTTATCTGATGCCAATGATAGTCCGCCACGATTTTTGCAAGACAAATATCGCGCCGTTATAGACGAAGGGGCTGAAAAGTTTGAACCTGACTTAAAAGTGCAAGCACGAGATAAAGACAAGACATCTAAAATTACTTATGCAATAGTAGGCGGTGACGAATTAGGACATTTTGCCATAGATCAAGATTCCGGTGAAATTACGATAAAAAATAAAGGACCAATCGATTTAACAAATTCAACTCACGATTGGATTGCACTTGTTATACAGGCAAGCGACGGAATTTTCGTCGATTCCGCCATTGTTAATATTACAATTCGTGACGTTAATAATAATGTACCTGTTTTTCCACATGATCTTTATACTGCAAGTATACCAGAAATATCGCCAATTGGTACGTTATTTTTTAATGATAGTTTCTGAGAAACAGCTCTGATCATGTTCAATTAATCTTATAATTTTAAATATTCTAGGAACGGTTGTGGAAGAAGTTACAGCGACCGATGCTGATACAGGAATCAATGCGGAACTTGTTTACAGAATACAAAAAGGAGCTTTCGATGATTTTGCAATTAATGAAACGACAGGCGTTGTAATGGTGTTTAGAAAACTTGATTATGACAATAAAAACACGTACCATGTAGAAGTTATAGCATTCGATAAAGGTAGAATAAGTATATATGACCTTATTTCCTTGCAATAATTTTACTATTTTAAACATATTTTACATATAACGTTTAATAATTTCATTATAATTTGTTATTATTAGGAACCCCCAGTTTAACTGGAACAACAACCTTAATGATAAACGTTGAAAATAGCAATGATAAAGCGCCCTACTTTACACCAGAAACGCAAAGAACTGAAGTTACAGAAGACACACCTATTGGAACTGTCTTTACAACTCTAAAAGCTACAGATCCAGACAGTGCCAACTTGGAAGCATTAAACTTTGCCATTTCCGAGCCAATTACAGCGATCGATAGAAACGGTCAACGGGTCAACGACAGTAAATCTTTTAAAGTGGGATCTGATACTTTATTTCATAATCATAAAAGTTCAATTCTTATTAAATAAAATATATGTTAATATATATTCACAGGACTTTTTCGCTGTTGACCGTGCAACCGGTCAAGTCTCTGTCGTTAGACCATTGGATCGTGATATTGCAGCAACAGTGAGCATTACCGTAGTTGTTAGTGATACAACAGCACCCACATTACAACAAGGAAGAGGTATTACATATTAAAAATACATAAAGTATCATTAAGAAGTATTTAATATTGTAATATTAGCTCAAAAATGATTTGAATATAAATATTGAAAGATAAATAGATTTTACATTAAACATAAAATTTTTTTATAATTGTTATGACAACATTTTTGTGCTAATTTCATTTTTTTAGTATTATCAAATATTTTACTAAAAAATAAAATAAATTATTTCGTTAAGAAACTAAATTTATATTGAAATATCTATAAGTATGAAGTCTATAAATATCTATAAGTATGAAATATCTATAAGTAAACAATCTGAATTTAAATTTAGTAATTTAATTTTTAGTAATTTAACAATATTTATGGAATAACTTAAAAGTAATTGCATTTATATTGCGAAATTAGATATATTGTAATTGTTATATAAATTATTATGTATAATATTATTAATATCTAGTTGATTTCTTTGTTTAAATTAGGCACTTTGGTAGTCACAATTATTGATGTAAATCACATGGCACCAGAATTCTTAAAACCATGGACAAGAGAAAATCCAGTGTATATAATAGAAATGCAAGAAGAACAACCAACTGGAGCTGTTGTAGGAGCATTTACAGCAGTAGACACAGATAGTAATATAGCAGGATATGCAATTATCCCGCCTAGTCCCTATTTTAATATAGACAACGTGACAGGTTCGTTATAGTTTTTCCATTACAGTTAAGAAAAGGAAAATGTGAGAAGCATAATGAATGTTACACATTTTGCAGGAATTGTACGGACTAGTCAAGTTATTGATTATGAAGAAACAAAACAACTAGAATTCACAGTAGTTGCATATGATTCTGGGGTACCTCAGTTATCTACAACTGCTAGAGTAATTGTTACTGTAATAAATATTAATGATCAAGATCCCAAATTCGAAAAAGAATTATACAATGCTTCTGTAAAAGAAAACTCACCACCAGGTACACATGTTACTGTCGTTAAAGCGACAGATGGAGACGAAGGCCCCTTTGGAGAAGTTAGATATAGTCTTATTGGTGATCACGCTGCTGACTTCAACATCGGTAAGCTTAATTTCTTTTATTCAAAAGAAGGTAAAATCATGTGGTATTCTAGAAACATGTATTTATATAAATTATAGGTCATGAAACAGGAGAAATTACTGTTGGTGCTGCAACTGTTCTTGATAGAGAAATAACACCAAAAATTACTATAACAGTAATGGCTAGTGATGGTGCTCATATAAACTCAGGACGAAGTAATACTGTTCCAGTAGTCGTGAAACTTATTGATGTTAATGACAATCGACCAATATTTACACAACATAGTTACAGAGCATCAGTTGCTGAAAATCTATCAGTAAATCCACCTGCACCTATTTTACAGGTAATTACATTTCATCCATTTGAAAATAACATCACAAAATTATGTAGATGAAACAATTAATATATAATGTATTTACTATAAGGTTAGAGCTGTTGATCATGATGAAGGAATCAATGGAGAAGTTTGGTATACCATAATTGATGGAAATGAAAATGAATCATTTTCTTTAAATCGTGAAACGGGCATTTTATATCCTGGTGCTGCACTTCTTGGCAGAGCAGGCTCTTATAGTATTAAAGTAGAGGCGAGAGACGGTGCTGGTAGTGGTCCACATTCAGACAAATGTAATGTCTACATACGAGTAACATCAGTAAATCAGCACAAACCACAATTTGTATTGCCTGAATTAACAAACGCTACTGTTGAAGTGCCTGAAGTATGTATAACAATATATTATCCATGAAATATTTCTCATTTGTAAAAGTATATAAATATAATAACAAACAAAATTTTGTAGAACACAGGTGTTCCAAATTACCTAATACTAACCGTGAAAGCGATCGACAGAGATCCTGGTGAAAATGGCCGTGTAAGTTATCACTTAAAAGTCGGGAATCGAAATACTCAAGAAACAGAAGAATTTTCAATAGATCAAGAAACAGGTGAATTAAAATCGAAAATCATTCTTGATCGTGAAGTAAACAGTAAATTCGAGGTAAATTTTATTCACATGCCTGCAAATTTTTTATATCAATCATGTTCAAGAACATTAACATTAATTTTAATGTTATTTTAGCTTGTTCTTGTAGCTGCCGATCATGGAACACCTACGGCATATGAAACATTGCGACTACTTACAGTACAATTAGTTGATACAAACGATAACGCACCACAATTTTACGATAAATATCATTTTCATATATCAGAAAATCGTCCAAAAGATTATTTTGTCGGTAAAGTAACAGCGGAAGATAAAGATGAAGGGAGGCACGCGAAAGTTTATTACTACATAGAAGCTGGTAAGTAATCTCATGTTATAAACTTGGTAATAGTATATACATACTTATGAAATAAAGATAATTTGATAAATTTATGCAAATACAAATAATTTTTAGGAAACGAAAATTACGCGTTTTACATGGACAAATCCGATGGTAGCATATATGCAAATAAATCATTCAATCGCGAAATTCGAGACAAATATATTTTATCAATATTGGCTTCCAATGATCCTGATATTTATATAAATCCTGTAGATGCAGGACGCCCATTAACACACAATACAGATCATGGACATGTAAATGTTACCATAACCATTTTGGACGAAAATGATAACCTACCGATATTTGAGCGTAATGACTACTACGCTGGTGTTAATTCAATGGCAAATGTGAATGATTTTGTAACACAAGTAACAGCATCAGATTTAGATGTTGGAGATAATGGTACACTTCATTACTACGTTGCCAGTGCAAATCTCTATAAATATGGATCAGAGAAACCTAGTGGTTCTATAGTTCCAAGTCCTTTTAATGTAACACAAGATGGTAAACTTGTTACAAGTGGATATATGGCCGAATATAATCAGGACAGGTTCATTGTTGAAGTCATAGCAAAAGAAGCTGCTATTCCAGAAAGATTCGCTATGACTAAAGTTCATGTAAGTGATCTTAAGCATCTTTGTAAACACCTTTAGATATTTAATTTTTAGATATTTCCTTTTGTGTTAATAAAGGTTTGGGTATTTGAAGCTTCACAATTAATAAGAGTTATCTTGTCAAGACCACCCGAAGAAGTAAATCGTGAACGTGATGAGATCGTATCAGAATTATCGAATGCAACTCAAAGCAGAGTTGTTGTTGATGATATACGATATCATGTAGACGCTTCGGGTCATATTCGTAGAGAATGGTAAACAAAATTAATATTCGTCTTTACTTATTAAAATTATTGTATGTTTTCAAGAATATACTATTTAATTTTAATTTATAGGTGTGATATGTATCTACATGTAGTAGAACCAAAAACCCAAACCATTGCTCCTATTCCTCAAGTACTTAAGGTTATTGATGCAAAATATGACTTCTTAAAAGATTATTATGCTGGTTTTGCTATTGAAAATGTTGTGGTAAGTATTATGTATATTCAAAAATGTATAAATATAAAAATATTATGTTCACTGATGATAATTTTTCAGCCTGCTTATGCTGGAGTACAAGAAGAACCTTTTGATCCTGCATTGGCAGCTTTAATAGCCTTATTGGTAGTTTTATTAGTTGGTGCAGTTACTGTAACAGTAGTTTGCTGTTGTTTAAGACATTGGTACATATTAAAGAAATGTATATTTTTTCTTTTTGATATAGGAAATAAAATTAATTACGTTATATGATATTTTAGGGTAATTACTGTGCCAAATGATATACGGAAAAAAGATGGCTTAATAAAGAAACAAATTATTGATGAGTTAAATACTACAGAAAATCCTTTGTGGATTGAACAGTAAGAAATGATATATCTCTTATACAAGAATATTTCTATATGATGAAACATATATACACATATATATCATGATCATTCTAGGAAACTTAAATTATATGAAGAACAAGAATTAACAATGCAAGTATTTAGTGAACCTGAAGGTGGCCTAGGCACAGAAAGACGAGGAAGCGGAGTAAGTGTTGGTATGGGTGATACATCTCAAGATAATACTTATGCCACTATCCAACGCCCACTGCCCACAAACAGGCACCGTCCAACGACGCCAGATTACACAACACTTCCAGGGAATCACAATGTATATAAAAAATATCGTTATATATTGTTACACTAAATAAATCGTAACATATCCTAAAAGAAACAAGTATGTTTATATTAGTTATTTTATTGCAGCTCTATGAATCAGCCATGGGTTTCCAAGGATCAACATTTCAGCCATCCTCGAATGTAATGCCTCAACTTACACTTGACCGTGATGGCCAACCCCAATTTGTTTCAGGGCTAGTATAAATTAAGTTTTACGCCAATCCCCTTTTTAATCAATAATATAACTTTATCACCATACGTTGTACCTCTTTAACCACGGCTCTAACTGTTGCACGCGCCTTTCCGAAATTACACTCGCATGCACACACCTTTTCGACAATAATCGGATAACATCGTTAGGTTTGTCTGCGAGTAGACGCGTGTACAAGAAGAGCACAAAAATTATCCCGAATTATGCAGAAAAATCTACTCTGACTGTGCACCTTTTGCTATTTCAGTTCGAACTCTTCAACAGTGAAGAATTCAAGATGAAGAGTAACGACGAACGACAGTCAATATTACTGGAATAAATATTTCCCTGTAGCTGGTGTGTGCATGTATATATGTGTGCGTTGCCAACCTATGGTCTCATCTAACTAATTGTTAGGTTCACTGTTAGGAAAATCAAAATTGCTAGATAATAGATACTGTGAAATAGCTTAATGACCGAAGCTTGGCACGACAGATATATGTATATAAATGAATGTGTAGACTCCGTCCAGCGCAGTTTTCTGATTACTTCCTCACTAGTTTAGTATTTATATAACTTATGTGCGTTTTACACGTAAAAAAAAGAAAGAACGTACTTATAGTGTCATTATATTCTATATAAACAAATGAGTCACTGCCGTATCATGGCATTAATAGAACAAAATGTTCTAGATAAAAGCAAATGAGTTACTGCCATATCATGGCAGTAATATAATAAAATGTTCTATATAAAAAGAACAAGCTCATAATATTAAAAATATTTGTAATAAAAAAAAAATTCAATCGAAATATCAACATATATCATAAGTTCATGTACAACTATTAATTTGCAATATATGTTATATTTATTTAAGTTAGGATTAAATGACTGATTTTTATCCGATTAATCTGTGATTTGATTACGCCCGCGTATATATGTGACAGTTGACTTGCATTTGAGATTTCGTACGACTCATTGGCGATGGGCGGATATAGTCATATCATAGCTAGTTAAATGGAGACATTCGCATCAAATTTCAATGTTATGTAACAACATAATCATTTCGCAATATCTGCGAAGACCACATCGCTTTTCATCACTTAAACCGTCCTCAACGAAACATTTGTGCATTGGGGTCTGTGAAATTTATTGCGAATGGCTCTGATGGTACAGTATATCATATACTCGAAAAATAATAACTTAACTATGATCATGTTATGTCTATAAACATTTAATGTAAAACTAATATCAGTATCACTATATTACTAGATGGTTATGAATATTCCAGTTAGTAAAAGTATCTGTTTATTGATTATAAATTTATTGTAACATATTTTATGTAAGCCATTGATAAAAAAAATATTCGTATGTCAACATTCATCACATCTCACATCATGTGGAAATAAATATTCAAATCTGTGTATATTCAATTCTTTTCAATATCCATATGTTTCCCTATATCTAAATTCTTTTTTTCTACTGTAGTGTCAGATTTATCATCTGACTTTGATCCATAATTAAAAATTTGGACTATTGAATTTGGTTGTTCAGCCCATAATTTATATCCTTTTTTTGTAGGATACATTCTAATGCTGAAACACGTTAAACATGTCCATTTCACACCTTTTATCGGTTTTGATACTAATCGCACTCTTGCTGTTTCACCAGGTATAAGTGGTGATTGACAACATTTACAAATTGTCCTTTTAATGTCAGATCCTCTTTAAAAAAAGTTATGCACACCATATATTTTTTGTAAAAGATTATTTATAATTATTTATAATTTAGTTCCTGAAACTCACAATCTTAAAACTGATTTTTTTGCACATCCAACCATTATATTACCATAATATGATGCTGCTACCCTATTTTTTAATGCCATCAAATAACTTGCCTATATAAATACATAATTTTTTTTCGGTAATTTCCTATTTCGATTAACAATAACAAAATATGAAAAATTATATTACCTGATATAGGAAATTCATCCTTTCAAAAACGTCTTTACCTTGGCATAATTTTGTATTCGTATCTGTAATAATTACAAAATACTAAATTAAATGTTTCGAAAATTTGTATTGTTAAACCTTATACCAACCCATAATTCTCATGAAAATTAAAGTTACTTATTTTAAACTTATTTCAGAAAAGAATACGTTTCCGAAAGAAAATCGTATCAATAACATAGGTTATGTTCTTTACATTTCCTTACTGTTCAATTTACATTGTCGATATGCAGTATATTGATTATCTCCTTAAACTAGAATTATTTCCAAAAACAAAATTAAATAAAAGTACTCATATAGCTACATTATTAATTAAAATTGGACTTCTGAACGTTTGATCACGAATTATAAATAAATTATAATGTATTATTAATATATATTTAATATAATAC